GTTCTTGGTGGTTAAGACTCTTCATATAATTGAAATGGTTTCATAATTAACTGCCACAGCAGGTTTTATTCAGATGTCACCTAAAATGATGGAAAGGAAAGGAATTTGCCAGTTGAGACGAAAAACACACTTCAACAAAGGACATAAGCATACTCTTAAGTGCCCTTGATGAACAATAAGGAACTTCAATACTGTCTTAAGCATATTTAGCCATAAATTTCCACTTATCCCCCAGCTTCTGAAGAACTAATCATAATTAAACACATTTTTCTAGGTTCTTATATTATAATTATTTTTCATTGCCATGTTATTCAGTAGACCAGATACACTACATGAAAAATTGTTTAAACACAATGAATTTCTCCTCCAGAAATCCAAAATAATGGATTTATATATAATAATGTTTTGAGGATTGCTAAAATATAAATGAACTTAGTGACTTCATGGCATTACAGAAGTTATTCCAGGTGTACTCATCAAACTTTCTCCCCAGCCTCCCCACAACTTGCTACAGTGCTAGGGTTTACCTATGATTAGTCTGTATTAAACTTTAGTAACATCCCTTTGTATTTATTTGCAACAGATAGCAGCCAGCTAACTACAGTAAGTCTGCAATGGATATATGCACACGTGTAAAGAGTTTGTCTACAATTACCACCCATCATTTTTGTGTCTTCACAAAGCCAGGTGGATCCTAGTGCACTTATCAGGGGAAATAGGAACATCATGCGTGTGGTTGGTGTGAGCTGGCTCTTTCTTGAACTTCATTCATTTAATGATACCCATGTTACCACATGATAAAACTTAGTGATTAGCTATAATGCCAGATTGTGGGTATTATATTTCCGAATATAATAAAAAAATGATTCTGCAAACACAAGTAGTGCTTTAAGAGCATATTTTGCTTGTAAAAGTGCTCTTAAAAGCAGAAACTATGTTCAATAAATGGAATAGGAACATGATGAAAACAAACAAGTGCTTTGGAATGAGAAGAAAGATTTACATCTGAGAGCAGTGGAAGTGACAACACATTGCCCTCAGCAAGTCCTACTTGTCCAGGGATCTCCAGCTTGGGTATCTGGGAAGTATTACAGAATGCCCTGAAGGAACCTGCTCTGCTTCTTTACAAAATACTGGTATCTATAACCCACAAACTAGGGGCTTACAACCAGAAGATAACACATATTGGAGTTACTGTTAACTGGCCATGAGGCTCTGCATCAGAAAATTAAAAAAAAAAAAAAACAACTTTGCAAGAGACATGATTTCCAGAGACATCTCAAGTTGATGTGACAAAGCCTGTTTCCCAGGAAACAAACACAGAATCCCCTCTTCTGATGGAAAAAACACTTTGTCTGATGATTTCCTCCATCACTGAATGCCTTATCCAATCCTCTGTCTTTGAAAGGAGGACTAATGCAATGAAAAGAGCAGGTGACACCATTTCCTGAAAGCTGTAGCTCTGTAGTTTACCACCTTAAAGTAAGATTCTATCTGCTCCAAAGCTGCCAGTTTTCATGACCAAAAACCTTGACAGCAGAAGTGTAAAGTGTAGCAACAGAACTAGAAAAGAACCAGCAATAAAAAAGTGCAAGGAGGAGGCTCTGCAAGTGGTTTAGGTGAGTATTCTGGATATCCTACCTGCAGGACAGTAAAAAGTCAGGATTTACACACACACACACACAAAAAAAACATCATAAAAGATTAAATATTTTCAATGATCAGTGTGCAAAAAAAATTACAGCATTGATACTATGAAATTCTTATCTCAAGAGTTGTAGAAAACTACATTCAACCACCAAATGCAGTTGAAAAAAAAAGAGTATGTGTGAAACAAATTTTGTTCATATTGTAGGGTACCTGTCAGTATAATTGTAGCAAATTACTCTTCATTCTTAAATAATATCTCCTGCTGAATTAACAGGTTTGCTTTTTGAAGTTAGCAAGGAGGAAATAAAAAGGATTATTTAATTCTGATCTTTTTCCTTTCTTTCATGCATTCACTGTCCTTGCTCACAACACAATGAGATTTTTCTAAGATGAAATTTCAATGAAAAAAAAGTTCTAGGCAGGTTTAGTTTAAAAGAAAGAAAATGAAACTTGCTAAACTGGATAGTCTTTGGGCTATGAATTCAAAGAGCTACGTAAAGAAACTATTGCCAAATGCCTCTCTGGCTCCTATGTTTTAAAAGCATAATGTTTCAGAAACCAATTTTTAAAGTGAAAGGACTTCTATTAATTTTGTGCCATTTCTCATCTCCATTAGTTTTCCACCTGTTATCTAATGTATTGTAAGAAGTATTGCAGAGGTAAGCAGTTTTAGGTTTTGCCCTAACCATGCCTCATTCACTCATAGTGATTCAGCAGTCCATTGCAAATTATTTTGGAACTAAACATGGGCTGTTGCCCCATACAAATCAGTCCTGCATTTCTGTTAGCCCTTCCGATACGAAACACACAAACCTGTCCTGCTTTGTGGGAATAATTCAGAGATAAAGCAAAACAATAAGTCAAAATTCCAGTATTTTTCCCAACCTTTCCACATATGTAAGTTCCAAGCAAGCATGCAATTTTTCAAAGGCATATACAACCCGTAGTACAGTCCATGAATTGCTTCATTTGGAAACGGGGTTTTCTTGTGCATAGTGCAAACACTTCTCTCATTCAACATGAAATATAATGAAAAACTACTGATGACGAAGCCTTGGAAGATAATCTCATAAAGCAGAGCCTTTACTTAATTTTAATTTACAGCAAAATTTAATCTCAAGAATTATCAGACCACTAACCTGGACATTGAACATAACAGCTGTCTTCTGTGATGATCATACTTCTAAACAAGAAATACCATTCTCATAAATGACATATGTACACCAATGATGGTACATTGAATAAACTGTATCATACATGTTTAACAGTTACTTCAGTGACCTTCAAAAAGCATCATTTGTGTGCACACAATAAACTGAAAGGGTCAAGTCATAATTTTTTTTAATCATGGTCATGTGTCGCTCGGGCTTCCTGGGGTCTCATCAACAAAAAGTTCATTTGACCGAAAAACACTGCCCGTATTTCATAAATATCAGTTTTGAGAAACCTTACTGTGGAGCTCTGTCAAGTTCTGATTTCTACTTGACTTACAAAAGGGATCTCTAACAAGGTCTCTGCTCAAAGTGCGGAGAGGGGTGGTTACTCAGACATTCAGCTGTAATACAGGTCTGACCTAGCAAGAAACATTTAATACCGGTGTCTATTTTAGTTAATGTTCAGTTTAAAAAAACTGAAATATCAAAGTCTAGTAACATGGGAATATCATTCCCTTATTCTCTTCCCTACGTAGCTCTCTCAGTTGAGTGCTACTTCTGATTATACTCAAAGATCTGCCAGATTTGAAAAGACTCAAGTTTCAGGCAACCCCAAAAATAACTGAACCTTGAACAAAGAGCTAGATAGTCAATCTGCTATTTTCTGTCTACAAATGCATGCAGGTACACATGATGCAGGGATACTTTTAAGAAGGAAAAAAAAAAACCCTGCCAGAATTCAAGCGTTGAAGCATGACTGAAGCCCTCTGACACTAATATCAGCATTGATTAATTACTAATTCTTTCATTACCATGGATAAAAGCAGAAAAATGAACTGGAGAAAAACACACTCTACCATTAGAAAATTATTGTGCTAAAAATAATGATAAAATTTTACCTTAAATGAAGATAGCAATAACATTAGACTTTTTGTTTATTTGATTAGAACAAATTCATTTGTGGATAACCATATTGCACCTTTAATAAATTAGGAAATCAATCTCTATGCATTTTCACAGCTCCTACTAATAGCAGTGGTATTCCTCATAAGCCTGAACTATGAACAGTGGCACATGTTAGAATCCTGCCACGTAAGCAGAAAATGATTTGTGCTGCTCAGTGGGTTTTTGTTTGTTTTATTGTTTTATTTTAAGGAAATGAGCAACACACCTCTTACACAGAAAAGCACTCACATCCAATACGCTTCAGTAACATACCTACATTATTCCTCACAGATTATTAAAATACCTGTATAAGGACTCATGTTCTGCATATCCCTCTGCAGACAAGAAGCAACTCATGGCACAGAATATTAAGCAAAGCGTGAGGTCTGAAGAAAGAGTCTGAAAGTCCTAAGTACATCATATTAAAACCATTATTTATGTGACATGGTACATAGAAGCAGGGTGCAATACAGTACAACTCTACCCATAGAGCAGCAAAGTTGACTATACCTGTTATGACATTGAGGAAATTATAACCCAATAATGTTTTTTCCTGTCAGAGACCATCATTTGCCTCTATTATCTACTTTTGTATATGCAGCCACAAACATTTTTCTTTGAGGCATACAACTCACTCTGATAGGAAAGTATGCAACCTACTATAAAATGCTTTTCCCAAAGCTGCCAAGAAAATCAATTAAAACCAAAATAACCTTTGTTCCATCTCTGTTTGACTTCAGTTATGATCTTTAAACAGACATATGCTTGCTATGGGTTGAACCTGAATTAGCAGACTAAAGCGAAATGAGTTTGGGAATATATTTGTTCTGTGTAACGTATTTGTTTCAATTTATTTTGCAACCACCTTACATTCATCAAAAGCAACCATACCCCCAGCAAGTATAACCTTTCTAGTCGACCGTGAAATATGGAATATCACTGATTATGCTGAAAACCATCAAAATGCAAATGGAATGAGAAAGAATCTGAATCAACATCATCACATAAGCAAAGCATAAAATGAAAATACTTCTAACAACACAGATGATATACCTTTAGCTATTTGCCAGATGCTCACGCTAGGGATGACACCAAGCACTCTGAGGTCACCAGAAGCCTTTGTCTTAAATTCAAAAAATTTGTTGTCTGAATTTAAGAAATGTTTTGACTCACATATATAGACTCTACTGCACATTGCTGCAATTCTCTCAACAAAAAATGGCAAAAAGGTACACATATTTTAACGCTTACCATTATCACCTTTGAGATTGCCATTGCTGAGCTGTTTTAACCTCTTCTGATGGGACTTGCCATTGTAGTGGATTTGTGCCTGAGCAGCAGAGTTCAGCTGAATGTTACAAACATTACACAAAGTGAAATTTGTGTGTTTCTTTTCTCTCTCCTTCTTTTCTTCAGTGACATCAGGTGCTAACTGTTTCTCACCCTCTCTGTCTGGGACGGCTGTGAAATCTAAGTTGTACGATTGGTTATCACCTGGTAAATCAGGGCTCCAGGGCTTCTTCATATTTTCTGTGGGGAAAAGACATAAGAGGGATAAGCGATGAGCAATATGAAACAATACACACAAGATTTCTACATCTGCAAACAAAAACGTGAGAGAAACAGCCTTGTAGCCAGTGGAAAAGAAGGGGAAGGAGGTTCTCCAGGCACTGGAGCAGAGACTGCTCTCCAGCTCACGGTGAAGGCTGTGATGATACAGGTTGTCTCCCTGCAGCACACGGAATACCTCAATGAGCAGACAGCCAACCTGCAGCACAAGGAAAACCCCACACCAGAGCAGGCAGACATGCCATAAAGGAAGCTGCAGCTCATGGAAAACCCATGCTTTGAGGGGAAACAAAACAAAACAAAACAAAAAAAGCCCCCCAAAAAAGGGAGGAGGGGGAGTGAGGGGGAGGAAAGTTAGTCAGGGTTTCCTGTGTTTACATATTCTGGTCTGCTGCAATTACGAGAAGAAAAAATAACCCCCTTATATTTTATTCTGCAAAACATAAATGCATAGTCCCCACTCCCAAGTTTATTAATTAGGTATTTAGCAACCCCTAGTCACCCCCTCTCCAATTCCCATGAATGCTTTCAAGCCCATCTAACCATTCCATAACTTGTCTCATTCAAAATAGTTCAAAGACAAACAATAAACATGTTCTATTAGTTTCTTATCTTAACCTCCCAGGATTATAATTCGAGGGTAGTTAGTTTATATTCAGCTAATACCAAACTGTAACAACTACAAGAAATGAGAAGATAATCTCATCTGCAAAACTTCAAGTGAAGCCAATGTAAACATGAGTTTCTGTGATTAAAGGTGAGCAGAAATGGAACAGGTGAAGTACTCTGTGCATTGCAAGCCTAATTTGCTATTCACGGAGTGCAAAATCTTATACCAACTTAGCATCTTAATGAGACCTTTAAATAGCATATGAAAGTTTAAATTGCTTGTTCTCCTAGACTTAGTGAATAAATGAAGGTCTAGCCAAAGAATCTAATCGGTACATTGAATGACAAAATTACTGCAGACTTAAAGATGATGATACTATTTGATCTCTATCTGAGAAATCAGTCAACCTAGAGACAAAAATGATGATTGCAGCAACACAAGAAAATGGCTACAGACTCATTTGATCCCCGATCCAGACAAGGTTCGGTATCTAAAAATAAATCTAAACAGGCCTTCAGATTTAGGTCTGATTACACCAAAATACTGCAAATCACTTGAGAGAGCTTCAAATATTGTGAATTTCGTCAGCGAAATGTTTTGCCAGTCCTCCCAAGGATTTAAACACATTTACTACTTTCCAATCAAATCGTAAAGATCAATTTATCTAAAGATGCAAATCTAACACCTGCCAATATCCAAAATGGTCCCAATCTCAGTTTTCAGATTTGCCTGCTATCTAACTAGCATTGTGTTGTTTTATGGTAACAAATCTTATTTCTTTTAAGCAAGCAGAGACCCAGTTCTGAAAAAGCTCCAACTTGCTGTACATTAAAACCTCACTCAACCAGTTCAGTTGGTATTACTATTTCATTTTTTGCATGTAGTCAATTCTTACCTAGGATTTTAACTGCCCACAGCAAGAGATGAGAAAGCAGGCTAAAGAATTCATTCCAAAGCAAAATTAGAGAAGGGAAAAAAAAAAAAAAAAGGAAAAAAAAAGCAGCATCATAAAAGCAGTTATTTAATAAAATCAAACCTATTACACCAACAGATGATAGGAACTTTTATAGACAAATTGCAACTCTCCCATAAGACATTATGGGACTGGAAGCTTAGGGGAAAACTTGAGGGTTTTCTATAGTAGATCTGTAGCATATTTCTAACAGAAGGAGGAGGTTTCTCCTGAGGAAGCAGCACAGTTTGCTGAAGATATTGTTCATTCCAAAGAGGTATATTCATCTGTCTGAAATATTTTTAAGTTTAGATGTTAAGTCTTTAATCAAAGCATTACAAGGATGACTTTCTAACATGATAGCACTAGTTTTACTGAATTGCTCTGGATGACAGTAACTTTTCAGAAATCCCAGCTTATAGACATCTGTACATTAATACATATATACTTCTGCACTGAAAGTATTCTCCACTAGAGAGCAGTATAAATTTAAAATTACAAGTAAAACATACCTCTAGACATACAGTGCTAGCCATATAGACACGAGATTACTATAATATAAGGTGTCTTCTAACCAAGGTATAAAACTTTGTAAGCAAATGTAATGCAGTAAATTAAACGAATCTTATACACTATGTGTACACATATATAATTCCTTTCGAAACATTTAAACAAATAAGCTGGCAGCCTAATAAAGTACACTAGCATGTTACTGCATCCCTCCAGTATGCAAGTTAACACAGACTAATAATATATGAGATTCTTATTTTTGGCATACAGAACACTTCTGTCTTGCATCTTTTTCCAGAAAAAGCAATTATAAAATGCACAGTCAACACAGACACAGAAAAGTAATAAGGGAAATTCCACCTTGGAAACAAAAAAAATGAGCATCTATGATTCGATTTCTCTTTCATTAGAAAGCTGTGATGGCATCAGAGCTGCAATATATTTTTGCCTTCTGACATGTCTCTCAAATCAGAGAAAGGGGATAATTCTTCACTAAGGGCAAATAACACCTGATCAATTTGGTGGCCTTTCTATGACGGGGCTACAGAACTGATGGATGGGGCAAAGCAGCTGATGTCATCTACCTGTACTTGTGCAAAGCGTTCAACACTGTCCCACATGACATCCTTGTCTCTAAATTGGAGAGACATCAATTTGATGGATGGACCACTCAGTGGATAAAGAACTGGCTGGATGGCCACACACAAAGAGTTGTGGTCAATGGCTCAATGTCCGGCTGTGTAAGGAGTGGTGTCCCTCAGGGATTGGTGTTGGGACCGGTCTTGTTCAACATCTTTGTCGCTGACATGGACACTGGGATTGAGTGCGCCCTCAGAAAGTTTGCCCATGACACCAAGCTGTGTGGTTCGGTTGATACCCTGGAGGGAAGGAATGCCATCCAGAGGGACCTTGACACGCTTTTGAGGTGGGCTGATGCCAACCTCATGAAGTTTAAGCATGCCAAGTGCAAGGTCCTACACCTGGGTTGGAGCAATCCCAGGCACAGCTACAGGTTGGGCAGAGAAGAGATTCAGAGCAGCCCTGTGGAGGAGGACTTGGGGTTATTGATGGGTGAGAAAATGAACATGAGCTGGCTTCAGTGTGCACTCACAGAACAGAAAGCCAACCGTATCCTGGGCTGCATCAAAAGGAGCGTGACCAGCAGGTCGAAGGAGATGATCCTGCCCCTCTGTTCTGCTCTCATGAGACCTCACCTGGAGTATTGTGTGCAGTTCTGGTGTCCTCAACATAAAAAGGACATGGAACTTTTGGAACAAGTCCAGAGGAGGGCCACGAGGATGATCAGGGGACTGGAACACCTCCCCTATGAAGCCAGGATGAGAAAGTTGGGGCTGTTCAGCCTGAAGAAGAGAAGGCTGCATGGAGACCTCATAGCAGCCTTCCAGTATCTGAAGGGGGCTGACAAGGATGCTGGGGAGGAACTCTCCATTAGGGACTGCAGTGACAGGACAAGGGGTAATGAGTTAAAACTTAAGTAGGGAACGATGAGGAAGAAGTTCTTTCCTGTAAAGGTGGTGAGGCACTGGAATGGGTTGCTCAAAGTGGTAAATGCTCCCTCCCTGGCAGTGTTCAAGGCCAGGCTGGACAGAGCCTTGGGTGACATGATCTAGTCTGAGGTATTCCTGCCCAGGGCAGGGGGAGTGGAACTTAATGATCTTAAGATCCTTTCCAACCCAAACTATCTTATGATTTTATGATAACTGCAGACCAGGTATCAATTAGGAAAACAAAAGTTTCAGGAAGATGTTATTATATTACAGTCTGCTACCATTTCCTTTACAGATACAAAGGGATTTCTGAATATATAATGGTATTACTAAAGGACTAAGGTGAAATAGTACAGACCTGTACAAAACACTTGATCTGATGCTGTAAAACAGCATTACACAGCAGTACTCAGTATGTAGATTGGATACAAATGGTTTGAGAGGAAAAAAAAAAAAAAAATCCCAAACATGAAGACAAAAAAATTTGAAAAAAAGTAGCAGTTTAAAACATTGAGTACTTCCTACCTGATATTCCTTAAAGGACAAGGAAATAAAGACAGCAAAGGATAAAGGGGAAGACATCCTACCGAGTGTAACTTGCTGGTATATTTTTAGAATACAATTTGCAACTCCAACTAGTATTTTAAAAGAAGAAAAACATCAAGTTTGTGAAATCTTTTAAAGATCCACCAGTGTTTAAATTAATGCACCTCCAGATTAACTCTTGCAAAGCAGCAGACTTTCAGTTTCTGCCTGCATTACTGCATACTTTATTTTTTTCGACTGAAATGTTCAGACAGCAATTTTGATTGGTGGGAGTTAAGGAAAAGAATGCTTAGTTTATTCTATTGGAAAATTCCATGGAAAATGGTTAGAAGAAAACATAATAATCTTAATTTAAAATGCAATTTTAAATTGCTATCAATATCTTACCAGTCTGATCGATAGGCATTAAATGAAAACCCCCTTTCCCTGCTGCCCCATTACAGAGTTAATCTTGACTATAATGGTTACATATCTTAGCCATCAGTTTTGCAGGTAACTTTTCCCTCTCTTCTCTCTTCCCCTTCCACCCCCCCACCCCCCCCAGGAAAAAAAAACAAAAAACCTAACTTCTCGACCTTTAGGAACCCTGATGAAGACTGCAAAATTTCAAGCCAACTGAAATAGCACTGTGGATAAATGCTTACATTTATTTTCCCTGCAGTTCTGAACTCAATTTTGGCTCAATGATGCTTACAGATAAAATGAACTTTGCATGACATTATAGCTTTGTGAGGTAGCAAACTGTCCCCTGTGGAAAAGCAGCACAACTACGAATTATGGTGTTTGCTGGCATAGCTAACGTAGAGGCTGCTGGGGATTTCTCTTCTGATATGTG